CAGAGAGCCCCTCAGTGCATGCGGCCAGGAGGATGGGTGAGATCCCAGACCGGAGGAAGCTCCACAGCCCCACAGAGTGCTTGGGGGAGCCGGTCAGACTGGCCCAGGCCACGGTGCCAAAGGGTGCTCCTTCATATGCAGGCTCGTGCCCCACAGCGCACCCATCACTCCTATCTCATCCCATCCTCATGCCCTCAGGATGCTGACTGAGCACCAAAGACCCATCCCAAAGACACCGGGGCACATTGTGCATGCCCAGTACCGTGGCCATGCTCTCACCAAGACCACAGTGGCGCACGTAGCCATCTCCCCCTCAGCTGTATGAGGAGATGGCCCATGTGTAGAGCTCACAGCAGGCATTGGTCCTTGGCAAATAAACCAGGGAAAATCATCAATTTTGCTCCCCTAGTTTCCAGAAAAGACCCTGGCACCTTTCCCTGGAGAAGCACAGCAGCTCAGGGATGGACTTCAGGGGCTGGATGTTTCTGAACTCCTGTGTTCATTCCTCAGCTGCCCCCATCCCACCACACCACAGCTGGACACCACACGAGGTCTGGCCACCCCCAGGCCAAGCAGAGACCTACCCTGCTGTGCAGACAAGGCCTCTTCGATCTCTTCCCCTGCTACGCTCTGTAAGGAGAAGCAGCACAGGTTACTTCTGCAGGCTGGAGGCCTTTGGGGCGCTTGTCTCCTGCTATGGCTTACTCCAGAACCGTGCTTGGGGCCAGGACTTGCTTCAGGATAGGACGAAAGGGCCACCCACCAGCACTGCAGCACCACGGGCCGGGATGGAGGGGTTTACAAGCAATGGCAGGAGGTGCTGGAAGCCCAGCAAGGCCCAGCTTCCACCCCTGCCCCACACACTGCTGGGCTTGCCCAGCAAGCTGAGGGAGGGTCAGCTCTGACACGGCTTTCCAATGCCGCAGCTCCCAAAGAGGTGCTAGAGACACACGGAGTGGCTATGTCATTTCCCCAGGGAGCCCAATGTGTAAATGAAGGCAGCCAAGACTCTTGGCTCCAGGCTACATGCCAACAAGCTCATCTTTACCCCGTCACTGAGGAAGGGATGGCCCTTCATGAGGCACCTCATGTCCCAGAAGCCCCCCCAGAAGAGCTCTGGCTCAGAGCAGCTCCTCAGCAAAGCACACACTTACTTCCGGAGAGCTGGTCTCCCTCAGGACCAGCTCACCCCCGCTCAGTGCTGGTGGCGAGTCAGAGTCCTCCGAGAGCTTCTCTTCATCCTCCTCGTGGATGGGGGACGAGGGAGACCGTAGTGTGCTGCGGCAAGAGAAACTCCATTCACGAGGAGCTGCAGTGCTGCTGGCACCACGGCCCTGCTGGATTTGGTGGCAGCAGCTCAAGTTGTCACCACCCCTGCTGTGTGTCCACCAGCAGCATCAGCAAACCTGCATAAGCAGGAGCTCGACTACTGAGATAAATTCACTAGGGCCCTCCAGTACCAGCTGCATGGAGAGGAGCAGCAGTTTCTGGGGCAGAACCAAGCAGTGCAGAGCTTCAGCACAGTAACACAGCTTGGACAAACCTGCCTTGGCACGGAAAGCAAGAGGCCCAGGGCCCACACTGCTCCTCACACCTTCAGGGGCTCCATTCCCAGGGGGAAAGTTGGAATGGAGCACAGCAGAGTGCCAGGAACAACCCCACAAGGGACACATAAAGCGCACATGCAGTGGGCTGCCTGCTCCATAGCATACACACCTACATCCTCCGTCACAAGGCCAATAGAGGAGGCTTCAGACAATAATTAGAAGGTCTCGTTCAGCATTTTGTGCTCTGAAATTCAGGTCACTTCTCTCCCCATTCTTTTGCTTCCCAGGATGTCATGGAAATTGAGCAAGGTTTGGATGTCAAATGCAAATTGAGGGACTAATTGCATTGGAAAGGAGATACTTCCATCCAAAGCCAGGATTAAATTCTCCTTGTTAAAAATCCTCTTTCTTTTGGTGAGTAAGATAGGCCTTAGGAGACATAAGCTGTAACCTCAGGCTGAACAGGGGTGATGCCTCAGTTCTCTCACCAGCATGAGAACCTGCTGGCCTCCTAAAAGATACCAGTGGTGGGACCAGCCAGAGCCCTTTCCTGGCTCCCAGTGCATGTGGCCACAAGCCCCCAGGGCTTACAAGAGGCATAGAACCCTCCATCCCAGAGCTGACCTATCTGGAGACTTGCTCCGCTTGCCCTTTTGGTGGCTGCTCTCCACAGCTCTGTCCATGCCCACAAGCGGCCGGCTCGCCGGGGGCATCCCATCCACCACACCAGAGTAGTTGATTTCATCATACAGAGGGGCTGACGGGATGGAGGGGGAAACGGAGCGAAGGCCGTTCAGTGCTTCCAGCAGGGAAATGGGCTCGTAGCCCGGAGGGATGTTGTCAGAGCTCTGTGGGTGAAAGAGAACAGCACATTAAGAAACCCCCACCAGGCTGGAAGCCCCCCTAGAAAGGGGAGGCCCCGCTGCAGCCCAGCCCTGCAACTCACACACTGCATGCCCAGACAGCCCGTCCCCACAGCCACCTCTCCAGAGAGCCTCAGCCTCCTTCCCCTGCAACAGCCATACGTTCCCCTTTGGGCTGTAACACTGGTGATGCTCCAGGGAAGCTTCCAAAGCAATGCTGAAGAGACTGGGCATCTCAGCAAGCTGGAATGTGGCTGGGCATCCCCCCCCATACTTTTAAGAGCTGGGCAAAGAGGGTGAGGAAGTAGGTTCCAAACTAAAGGTACTGTAAGATGTGCTTGGACTGTGTCTCCTAAAAGATGGTTCGGAGACCCTTCCAGCTCAGCAAGCATGACACTTATGCTTCCAGCCCTGGTACACACAGCACCCCCGGTGCACCAACCAGCTGAGAGTTGGTCCTTGGAACCTACACCACTTCTGCTTCTCCCGTGGTCTCCATCCTCTCAGCTGCTAACACTGGCTCTACACAGCCACCTCTGCCAAAAGGTAGGAAAGGGATCACAGAACCACTGTGCCACTCCGTAAGGGAGGACGGCAAAACTGCACCAATTCCCAAACCCCCCTTAACTCACTAAGCTTCCAGTCAAAGGCACTCTCGCAAAGCCATTAAACTAACACTGGTTTAACTCAAAAAATCCTCCTGATCACAAAGATCCTGAGCACTCAACTCAAAGACAAATGGGGTTTATGCTGCAGCCACAGGCAGCTCAGCCCAGACTTCAGCACTCCAGGCTTACACTAAATTGAGCTGTTTCAGCCCTGTATCCTCAGGAAAGTGGTTCTATGTGGTACCTAAGATGGTGTGTGGCTGCTAAGCTTGGCCATGAACTCCTGTAGCTTCTCTGCCTTATCTTGCAATCACAGAGCTGCAGGTGTGCCTGCCCAGCAGCCTGTTCCAATACAGCCACCAAGTTAGTGCAAGTCGATTGCTGAACTGGCTCACTTGTGGTCACAGAAGTAGCTACATCTGACGGGGTGGAAAGAACGAGTGGCACTTGGGGTCAAGCATCAACCCACACTCCTAAGTGCCGGCCTTGTGATGGTTATGAGCTTGTGCTGAAGACCAACCCCAGCTGGAGGTTGCAAGATAACCAAGCCAGCTAACAAGGGCTCGGTTCCCAGCTGCTGCCATCTGCAGGCGGTGCGGCCAAAAGCCATCTCTACCAAGAGATCTCATTTTAGACAGCAGCTCGGAGGCGCTCTTTTGTGTACAGAGAAGCCGGGAAGACAAAACCCTTGGCCTGTGTTTGGGACATTTTCTCCTGGCTGTGCAGACCAAGGCCTGAGGGTTCAAAGGCTACTCCTTTTTGTTCATGTGGTGCAAGCTCAGGTTCCATGGCACAGCTCAAAGGCTGGAGGTGGATTTCTCAGCCAATGGCTACAACACCCTCATGGCAAGTTTCTGAGCTTTCAAACAACCCTAAGGGCACTGCTCTCCCCTGGGACAATTACCACTACACCCCACAGAGCCCACTGCTCCATCTGTATTGCCAGTCGCTGTAGGAAGCTTGCAGAGGGACAGGGTCACATCAAGCTTGCAACAGCCTCCTTCCGTGAGCCCAGCCTCAGGTTTTCTCCAGACCTAACAAGCACAACAAGCTACATTCCTCATCCAGGTTGGCTTGAGCAAAAGACAACTGCAGCCTCCTTGATACCGACAACAGCTGTAGCTGCATTCGATGGGACCACACAAAGAGCACAAACAAACCCTTCCTGAACTGAGGGCCTCCCTCACCTTCCCCTTTCCCCATCCTGGCTGCTGGTCCCCCACAGTTGCCACTCATGCTGTCCCCAGCATCGTGTTCCAGTTACACACCCTTACACCAGCTCAGAGAGTCCCCAACAGAACAAGCTCCATCCCTCCTGTTTCTGTAAAAGCAAAGCAGCCCACTGCAGCCAGTGTTCCTGAATGCAAGATCTGGTCCAACGGTGACTGTTCGTCTACCTCTACATCTAGTATCAGGGTGGAAACACAAGATGTGTCCATGCCAAACTGCCAAGGGGATGGGACAAGTGCAAGGAAGCTTCTGGGTGAGCCAAGGCATCAGCAGTTTGCCCACAGTTGTACACAGCTACTAAAACATGTTGGCCAGGAACTACAAAGCAGCCAGGCTCAGGACGTGGGGACAGTCCCTGCGGATCAGTGCCAGACCGCTGTGCAAGCTGCTTGCATCTTGCTGATTCCTCCACACGCAACCCAGGGGGTTAGTGATGGTCTGTGCAGGGTGTGAGTGTCTCACTGCTCACACGGAGGCAGTACAGGGAGTGCCCCAGCCTGTGCAGGGGCAGGAGTCAACCCCAGCGTGTCAGCGAGCCCTTGCGTGTGTAACACTTCCACGTGCTGGTGACACCATGGGCAAAGAACTGCTGCAGGAGCTAAACACAACCGAGTCCACTTACAGTTTCCCTTTTAGGCTTCCTGCTGGGCAGGGAGACAGTGCTCACTTTAAGGGGTTTAAAGGGACACTGTCAAGAGAAAACCATGTTTAAAGACATTGTTTCTTGAGGTTAGTGACACGAAGAGACACACAGCATCTCCTCACCTTGCTCCAGGCGACAGCACCTGCTTCCTCTACACACCATGCTCTGCGTCACAACAACCCTTGGGGTTTCTCCCCTGCCCTGTTTCTTACCCCCAGTTGAAGGCAGCAGGGCTCCAATGCTGCAGAGGACAGATGGGTAAAACAAGGCTTCTTCTGTGACACTATCTTTCTGAGGTCTAGAAGATGGTCTAGATGCCGATATCCCTTTCCTTACTCTGATCTCATGTGTCTTGACAGAGCCAGCTGTGCAACAGCACTGCTCAAGCAATGAGCACCAAGCACATGCGACCAGGCTCTGATGCTACCAGCACCACGCTTCCCATCCCAGCTTCCTCAGCTGCCTGCTGGGACCCCGACCTCTCATGGAGGCTCACACAAAGAGGCCTTTCTGCTGTCATGCTGGGAACCCTGATGACAAGGGCATTTCATCAGAGCTTGCTGCCACACAGATGTGTGTGCAAGTCAAACTGTCACCACCCCACCCCCCCATTTTCCCTGCTCCCATCCTGCCCAGAGTCTGCCACTTTTCTGCTGGGACTGGCCTGGAGAACCTTCTCAGACTGAGGATTCTGTGGATTTCTTTCCTCCAAAAGACAAGAGAGTACTTGGCTAAAACCAAGTTTATTAATTATTAATCCACGAGAGGAAAGATCCTGGCTGTCCAGCAGGGTTGACAAGAAAGGCTGCACTGCTCAGCAAGAACAATGTCTGAGTATACCTCCTGAGGTCACAGGAACACCAGCAACTCATGCACGCAGAAGCTGCCCACTCAGGCTGAGACCAGCGCCCTGCCTGGCTTTGTACACAGGGTTGGGAGGTACTTACAGAGTGCTCGTCATGGTCAACGCTCTGTGCCAAGACAGGGCTGAATGACACCGGCGACAGAGCCCCCGGCTTCTTCCTCACAGCCCGGATCTGCAGGAGGGCACGGAAGGCTACAAGAGAACAGCAGGCAGGTGACTGCATGGCCAAGCAGGACCAGGCCACGCCTGATGCGTGCCAGAGCTCCTCAGCTTGCCACAGGCACACAACAGGCATGGGGTATCTCCACTTGTACATGGGGAGCAGGGCTGTGGAGCACACCAAAGCCTAGTGCCGTGGTCTGACTTCTAGTCAATTGAACTAGACAGGGAGGAGATTTGCTTGCCAAAACCTCTGGGTACACAGGGTCCTTGCAGAGAACAGGCACTGCCTGCCCTGGTACCATCATGTAAAGGGGTACTTCAGACCTGATACTGTACAACACAGTAAGAAAAACATGAGCTTGGCCTTGGGCAGTGCACTGAAAGCTACAGGATGGGGGGGTGTGTGTCATGTAAAGCCACTTTGGGTTCATCCAGACCACACAAGTCTCAGCCCTGGGGTTCAGCTGGCCCTGGAAGCATCATGCCTGTCATTGGCTGCTCCCCCACCAGCCAGCGCCATGGTGGTGAGAGGCTCTGCAATAGCTGCGAATGCAGTCAGAGGGTTAGTGGCTATACTCCTGTCTCCAGCACAGCCATCCCTTGGTCCTCCCATCACAACAGCTTTGATCTCCACTCCCTGCCCACAGTCCCATTTCCTATCTGCAGATCTTTAATGTTGTTAGTTCCTCTGTGCCAAGGGCACAGGTGAATGAGCCAGACATATGTTCTGATGGAGCTGTAAGAACTTGCTCATAGATAACGAAAAGCCCAGGTATTTCCCTAGTTCTGTTGCACCCAACCTAGAGCCAGAGGACAAAGGTACAGATCTATCCATGCTGCCTCTGCACTCCCCAGCAGCAGATTCCCAGGAAGTCTGACATGGGGGCACTTTCCAAACAAACACAACCTCCTCCACTGCAGCATGCAGATGAGATAATACAGTCCCCGTGTTTTAAGTTGTACTATTTATAGTTAAAGCTGTCTGGCACTTCCTCTGATAAGATCTTGCTTTCTGTAACTGCATGTTTGACACGTTTGAACCAGTTAGACTCAATTTCTCATGCCAAATATCTGTCTTAGGCTCTTTTTTCTTTTGCTGAGAAGTATCAATTAGAAACAATCAAATATCTCAGAGACCAAGCACAGGGTAAAACAAGTGATCTGTCTATTCCAGCAAAAACACAGGCATCACCTCTCAAGAGACTCCTGTGCCTCTGTGCTTTGAGAAAACACATGGAATTCAGCAAATGCTGCCTGAGTGTCAGAATGGGTATTTAATTTTTTCCATCTTTTGGGAGCTAAGCAAAGCAGATCCTCTGAACTCTCCTGGCAAAGCAAAGGACTCCAAATTGACTGTTATCGCATCTCTGCCTCCTGGTGAAATAAAAGTAAAGTTGTCACAGGGTAAAAAAAAGTAGGCAAAGTACGTGGACAGCCCTCTGGTGGGACTGGCTGCTGTCTGGGCCAGATACTCTCAGGATAAAGCTTCTACATCCATTCTTTTGAGGGATGTTCCCTCATCTTCACCAAAACACAAGATCTGCCTGCATGGCACGGCTCAGAGCACCTGCACCTTCAGATCCATACCAGGGAGAGGGTGAGTGGCCAGGGAGGCATTGCACAAAGGGTCATTCTCCCATCATGTGCTCTTCTCCTTCCCTGTTCAAGGACAGTTATTTTAGGTGGCAGGAGTGTCCAGACACCAGTGAGAGCAGCAGCATATTTGATGCTGAGCCTTAGGGTGGAGTATATAAAACACTCCCTCTCACAGCCTGTACTGACTTAACAGGAGCCCAGGAGGGAGAAAGATGCCCTTGTTTCCTGGGCACATACTCACGCAGCCTGCAGATGGGGCAGTTGTTGGCCTGGTAACGCAGGGTGTCAGCGCAGGAATTGCACAGACAGAGGTGTCTGCAGGGCAGAATGAGGGTGTCCCGGAGGTCAGACAGGCAAACCACGCACTCGTTGCTGTTGTCGCTGTTCTCGTCATCTGAAGGCTGCAACGAGAGGCAAGATGTTGGCATGTGAATGGTAAGAGCCACACAGAACTGCCAACAGGCTCTGGGGCCTGGGGAAATTCCCACCAAAAGTCCATGGAAGAGCTGGCATCTTCTTCCCACAGCTCTCACCAGGGGGTTCTCAAGGAGAAGGAGCTCCAGCCCACACAGCCCTGCGCAGACACTCCTTCCTCTCAGGGCTCTGCTCTGAGCTCACTGAAGGCCAGAGGCCAGGGCACTGTACTGTGAATCCACAGTACAGCTGCCCTTCCCCAGAGCTAGGCTGTGTGCAGAGGGGAGCCCCTTTTGGGTCCCCCTTGGCTGAGAGGGACCAAGGACAAGCTCCCACCTACTAGCCTGGTAGTTGCCAGAGTTGGCAAGGAAGAGGGCTCTTTGGCAGTCCAGCCCTTCTGCCCCATATCTGCAGACAGAGCAGCCCAAAAGGAGGTGCTTGCTGACTGTGGCAGGCAGGAGGTCAGGCTGCCCCCAGGCTGGCCAGGAGGCACACTCTAGCCCAGTTTCCATAGTTCCTCCGAGCAAGTGAGGAGTGAGTGGTTCTCCTGCCACAGGATCTTCACCAGTCTCCTGTGCTGGCACAGGCTTCATGCAGCTGCAGGAGAACCAGCCTGGGATGCTCACCACTAACAGCTACACTGGTACAAATATTGGTGTGAACCCATTCTACATGAACATGCATCACACTTGTCTTCCAGTCACTCACGAGTCCCAAAAACTGGATTACAGCCACTCAGCAACCTGGTAAGCTGGGAGGAGAAAACCCACTCTCTGACCATAAGAGCTCTCTTCAGTGACACCAACACCACCACAGAAGTCATGCCAGAGCCCACCAAACTGATGACCCAGCATGGGCCACCCTCCACCTTCACCTGGTCCCACTTCGTGAGGCCCCTTTGGTCTCCAGGGCTATCACATGCTAGACCATGGGCAAGCTTGGTGTAAACAGCAACAGACAGCATCTGCTGCTGCCACATCCACACCCAGCCTGCTTGCTGCCTGTGCCAGCAAAAGGCTGCAAGGTCTGCCCCGTCACATGGATTCCTATTTTGGGAGGTAGGGAGGGCAGGCTTTTTGCTTTCCCATTCAGTTTGCTCAGTACACTAGGAAGAACAAAAATGGCCCCAGGCCACTTGTCTGATGAGCCACAAGTGTGTGACCATTGGATCAAGAGAATCATCACAAGACCCTGTAGGACTCAAAGAGAAGCCTTCAATCCTCTTAAATATATCCTGTGCAAGAAAAATCTCTGAAAAGACTTCTCCCTCCTACCTCTTCAGGTGCTACCACCTGTTGGTACAGGAAGACAGATCACAGAATGGTTTGGGCAGGACACTGCATTGCTTGGAGAGCAAATCCTGCTTGTCTTGCTCTGCGGCTACTCCTCTGCAAATCACACATTACACACACTAGAGTGGTGCGATCCTGAGGCCAGCACTTGGTACACTGCAGCCCAGGTGGCAGCAAAGGGCAGCTCAACAGAAGGCTAAAGCAAGCCTAAAGCAGTCCCATAACCTGCATGGTGCTGTGCAGCAAGCTGGGATTCATCCTCCCTGAGGATGGGCAATGTTTCTGGTTACAGCATTTGCATATACATCTCTTAGCGATGTTGTGCTCCCTCTTGCTGGGGAATGCAGGCTGCTCTCTGGACACTTGCTCTCTGGCAAGCCCTGAAGAGCTCAATTCACTGCAACGCTACAGGAATATGCAGATCCCCTGTCCCAGAAAAACAAACTAAACAGGAGAACATGAAGGAGCCACAGGAGCAAAGCACAGCACCAAGACCTACTGCCTTGACTGCAGAGAGGCAGCGACACTGGCCCATGGCTATCTCTACTGTCTCTGTGCTCTGAAACACCTCCAGGGCACTGATAACCTTTTCTCCCAGCAATCCCAGACCCTGGAAACAGGCCCTGAGTCTCATGCTATCTAAAATCATCTCAGCACAACTCCACTGAGTGTTTGGGCCTTACAGCAGTGAGAACCTGTCATCCCTGAGCTTCTCCAGTGCCTGCAGGAGTGACACAGACTCGACAGTTGTTCTGGGAATCACCTCCACATTGCCCTGTCGAGCCCCATAGTTAAGCTCAAAACCAGAAGGTGCAGGCTGGAAACCCACAGCTCAGAGAGCAGGAGGCTCCTGAGCACCTTTACCTTGGTCTCTTGGTTGTTTTTGTTCTCGATGCCGTAGATCTCCTGGAGCAGATAGCTCACCCGGTCAACCTGGAGAAGAAGACAACAGTTGGAGTGCCAGCTGCTCTGTCATTGCTGCTTCGGGATCACCTCCCCTCCCTCCCTGTGTCGAAATGCCCATGTTACATCCACAACAGCCAGCTCCCCTATAGCTACCTGAAAACGTTAACAGAAACAAGTATCACAAAGGATAGCTGGTAGAATGAGTCTCTCCTTGTTCTGAAAGTGGTGTCCATCCTGTCTGGTCTGATCAGGGAGCCCAACTGCCCACTTTTGTCACAGTCAAGATCATCTCGAAACCAAATACTCTGCTCATCTCACAGATCAAGAGGGAATATGCACCCAGAGCTCAAATAAACCAGAGGCAACCAGCCTTCCACAGTCCTTTCCTTCTGTGAAGTACTGCTTAACTTCAACCAACATTAACTTCCACCTGTCTTTGTAACCTCAGCAGATGTACTGTGCCAACAGCTTGTTACTGACACATCCATGGCTGCACGTCACTTCTTTGTTCATCACCTGAGAATATAAGGTCAAGCTACTGAAGACAGACAAACCATCACCCTCAGCATAAGAAGTACTCGAGGGACAACCCTACGTTAGTGCAGTGTCATTTATTACCATCCCCAGGCCCTTGGTGGCTTCTCTGAACTGGGGTGTGTGGTGGCAGAAAGCACTCTAGGCACAGGGGGAAGCTCCTCACAGCCCCAGACCTGGGACACACTCCTCCAAGCCATGCCCTTGTGCAGCCACTGGAAGCTGCCTGCAAACTGCCCTGAGCAGCTGAATTAAAGCACTGAGGCAAGAAAGGCTGATGGTTCAAGTCCCAGCAAGGCCAGCCCCCTCTGCACGGTGGGGTGTTCTCCCCTGTTCTTTAGCTTAGCCAGGAAATGCAGAACAAGACCTTGGAGCTGTTTGGAGCAGCCCCTATACGGATGCACAAAGACACTGGTCCCCTGAGACGTGGTTCTACACAGCAGCTGCCCCAGAGCAGGGTGTGTTCCTCCACACAAACCCCCACAACAATTCTAAAGAATGCTGAAGGGGTCCCAAGGTATCAAATTGACACATCTCACAAACAGGGGAGGCAAACGCTTTCCTGTCATCTCCACTAAGGGTCCAGTTAACAGCACGCAGTGAAACCAACCCACTGGGAGCCCAGTGCTTCAACAGCTCGTCAGCCCAGGGGTTTTAGCATGTCCATGTGTAATGGACAGCTCTCCTTTTGTCAAACCAGGTGCTCAGAAGAGCAATGGCTTTGCCATGAGATTTCAGTGCTGCAGAAGACGTCACATGCCAAGATGGGGGCAGGAGCTAGCTATATCCAACCCATCTGCCAGTTCAGAAATGCTCTGAGCTGGGATGCAGCAGCTTTAACAAACTAATTCCAAAGGCTCCCCATTTAACTCAGCATGCAGCTCACAGACAATCTGTTCTAGGCCTACATTTCACGGCAATGAGGTCAGCCTTTGGACTGCTGAGCAAAATCCTCTGCAGCAGCTCACAACTCACCCAGGAAGTTTGGGAACAATTATGTGGGAGATGTCCTTTTGTAACTTGACATTTCAAAGAGAGTCTTGTTAACAGCATCCTGACTGCTCAGAGGATGGTGATGAGCGGCAGTGAGTGCAGAAGTGGTCTGCTCAAAGCAAAGAAGACGCCAGGAAGGAAGACTCAGCAGGAGTCTGCATTCGTTTTAACTGCTTGCCTCTAAAAACTCCCAAGAAGTTCATGTCCCAGTAGGCAAAGGGTGAGCAGTGCAACATGGCTCTTACTAGAAAGATCTCTAGGTTTAAAAAGAGTAGGAGTGAATAAGAAGTAGATGATTGTACACAATGCAGTCCTTCACCTTCATGCTTTTGCAAACCAACCTGCACCACGTCATCCTTCCAAAGGCTTCTGTTGCTATATACAGCCTCAGCTGATGCACACAGGAGTCACCAGCCAAGTCCAGGTCATGTTTTTCTGCTGATCCATCTGTTTGTATTCATCCATGCTGGATTTCTTGAAACAGATTGGTAGGTACATTATAACTGATCTCAGCTGAGAGAACAAAGCAGTTCAGCTCATTAGCTGCTGCTTCCTGCTCCAAAATTGCTTTAGAAGTCGATGCACACAAAAGGTGCCCAGGGATCCTAGCAATGGCAAGGAGGGGAAGGCAAAGAAAAGTAGTGATGGTGAAGAATGTACAATGTTACACAGATGGTTTACTCTATACCTCTGCTCTATGCTGTTATGGGTGCAGATATTACCTCAGTTTCAATGGTACTGTGTGATCTTCTAGAAAGAGCTTCCTTCTATTTTAAAAAACATAGGGGAGAACATACAAGCATTACATTTTACAAACTGCCAATCAAAAAAAAGTACCCACAACCAAACACAAGAGTGGGAAGGTTACATGCTCTGCCAGTAAAGACAGGCAGGCACACACTGTTTCACTGCAGGAGGCAGCTAATCAGTCTGTGGTAGGGTGGGAAATTCCCTGAAGAGCACTTCCAGCAAGACAGCCCTCCATTTGGGGCATCCATTTGAGTGCTAAATGGAGAATGGTACACACACTGTGTTAGTGTGTGCAGTAACCCAGCACCGACTCAGAAAGGTCACAGCCATGTAAGCACTAGTTTTTCTTTTAAATCTTACTTTTCATCAGCTCACAAATGCTCTTCTCTGATCAGAAGAGTATGTGAGAAAGAGGCACTGCTGGCACCACACTGCTCTGCTCCCTCACTGCTCAGGCAGCTTCCTCCAGCACAGTGCAGGAGCTCTCTCTTCAGCTGCTCCGCTCCTCCGGATGTTCCCAGTACAAACCTGCCTTCACACACTCCATAGACTCCCTCCCAGAACCATCTCTATCTACCTCTATTAAGAGTACCTGTGGGATACAGATCAATCAATTAGCCAGGAGATAATGCTGCAACACAGCCAAGCTAAGCACCAAGGAAGGGAGGGAAGCACCAAGCACGTCAGTCTGCTGGTGGGGCAGGTAGTGAATTACTGAACACAATTTTGATACAGGATTAACTGGTACCTTTTAGCAGCTCGTTTCTGGCCTGGTGACTGCAACATCTTAGAGAAAAAAGTGTCTAATCAAGGTGCTTAATGATCTTCTTCATAGTAAAAGGCTTCTTAATTCAGATCAGATAACCCTAGCCTTCAATCATGAGCATCTGAAGTCAAACACACTTAAAGCAGAAACAGAACACACATCTAAAGGTGAAGGGATCGACCACCAAAATCTCATCTCTTTCTCCAAGACATTTCAAGCTGATCCTTGCAGCAGGATCACTACCAGATTTCCTGTCAGAAGGTGAAATTCTTGGCAATCTTACAGTTTGCAGTTGCTGATGTATTTCTCTCCGTGTAAGACTGGATGCAGTTTCAACCTTGATAAGGCACTACACAGCTTCACACCACACCGGATGGGCTAAAAAAGGGCTACAGACCCCTGATGTTTCCCTATTTGCCAGTCTCCCGTCTTCCTTTCCTTACCCTCATAATGTGTGCAGCCTGAAACATAACAGCTTCAAAGCAATACCATGCTGTGATTGCTCAAGTACCAAGACAGTTGGATGGAACTGGCAAGATGAGCCAAAAGGTCTCAATCCCTGAGGCTCCTCCATAGATACCATGGGCACAACAAGGAAGCTTGTGCAGGGAGATGATATCCTCATATCTTAATATGCTCACACATGTGGAAAGCTAAAAGTTTTCAGCCTCCAGGCAGGACACTGGGAGCCTGAGAAGATATCCTTCCACACCACAAAACACAGAACCTAAGGAGATCAGGCAGTGTCAATGAACTACTTAACACATACAGCACTTAAGTTCCCTTATGCAAACCTAATTTACTTACAGCTATATATGTAAGCATCAGTACTGTGCTTTGCCAGCAAGGCAGGAAGGTATAGGGAAGACTGGATCTATACATAGTGCCTGCCTCCCAGGGGAGCACAGAGACCTGCACCATTGCTCTGCCAGTCCCACTGCTATATTTCTTTCCCCAACACACATCTGGCTGAGCAACAAACAACCCAACATTAAGGGCTGCCAGCAGCTCACTGCCTTTGGTTGTGGTATCTGAGCTAAGGAGGTGAGGTCTCAGGCTCTCAGTGAATTAACACTGAAGCTTCCCACTGGGTACAGACAGGCACCTGTGGGACACCAGGAAATGCCTTTAAGGAAACAGGTACTTACAATTTGCTTCTGTTTCAGTGGCTTCACGGAAAAGCTGCCATCAACATGCTAGCAGGAAAAAAAAGGAAATGTGTTAAATAGCTGAAGTGAACAAATGAAGAGCAAAACAGACTCGTGATCAGAGTTGATGTCTGCTAGCTAAGCGAAGGGTGGCATGTGTGTAACCAGGACAGCCTGAATGGCCATCATTCCCAGCAGATAGAGGAACAGGGTATCAGAGTGCCCCTTGTCTGCTTCAGTGCAGAGCTAGATGGACTTGGCTCAAGTTAAATAAACCTTGCTGAAATGGGTCAGAGCATGCACAAAAATCCCCTGGCACACTGCATCCTTTCAGGTTGCAAGCAGTCCAACTGGGTGCAAACACTTCTTCAGCCAGTCCAGCAAGACTTGGCAGCGGATATTTGTTAACACCCTAAAATAACATCCAGTTACAGAGCCCCTCTTGAGGCCAGAGCCCCTCTTGAGGCCAGAGCCCCGAGAGAGCAAGGGGCTGGCAGGAGGCAGAGAACAAGGATTGCTCACTGGATGGGGTCCAAACCAAGTCACGCACGCTCTGCATTGCCACCTTCAGAGCTGCAGTGACTGCCTCAAGCCTTTCATTTGCTCACTGGCAGCAGTCATAGCTGGAACAATTCTGTATATGCCTGGTGTCAGAACTGGTGACAGGAATAGTGTGCTATTTCTATTTTCTCCATCCTCCACATGGGCCAGCTAAACTGAAAGAAAACAGCTCTCCTGCCACAATCTAGACAGTAGGAAAGGAGACTTAGGAGAAACTCCAGCAGGCCCTCCTGCTGTGAACGGCTACAGGCATGCATCTGTTTGCTGAAGGAGTTTCAGAAGGAAGGGACACCAACATCGCAGCAGAAGACGAAACAGTCCTGTTCTCCAGGCAAACACAAACTGCCAAGTGTCTGTGTTTGGAAGAGCTGCAAGGCCAGACTGCACTGAGCATCAAGGTTACTATTCTGATCCGAAAGATACATATAAATAGCAAGCTGGTCTGTCTGTCCTCTGAGCATGCTCTAGCAATCATCAGCAGTGCTTATTAGCAAGAAACTCCTCTGGATTTACGAACCTACACTTCAAAAGCTGCAATTAATCTAAGGATGGGGAATATATTTTAATGAAATGGGGAGGAGAAAGAACTCAACATGTACTTTGCCCTGTGACTTTTTTAGTAAAAGAAAGATTTTGATCTTAAGTATGCAGTGGAAGATGACAAGTAAGAAGTAGCCCCACCAGACAGCATCTCCCTCTCACAGTACACACAGACTAAAAAAAGAGGGGAGGCACTTTCAATCGTTGAGCTCAAACCTGGACACAGGACATAATCCAGCACTGATGCAATGGCCTGACTAGCTTTAGTTAGGTCCCAGTTTTGCCTCATACCTCGTTCAGGTCCCTGAACATTAATTTCAGGCTTTTGCCATCAACTTTGTGCATCCAGAATGCTCCAAGGTTCTGCACAGTGGGTGAAATTTACCTATAATCCTTGAAATCCTGCTTCCAAAGCTGGAGCAGTTTAAGCCACTTTCCAATCTCATGAGACAGAACTTTCCAAAGCTTCACTTCTGCCCTCATGCTAACACATTCCCAATATATGTGTATTTTCCTACATTCTACAAGGTGCTATTATCAAGTGCAGGCTATGGAATGCTGGAATGGGAAGTTGAGAGTTGGGACAAATCCAGCCAGAGCTCTTCTCCCTGACTACAGAGGCTGGGCTTACTGCAACAGGGCTATGTTTGGATATGTGGAAAATAGTAACTAGACACACTCCTTTGTAAGTAAAAATCATACTCACATCATCAGATCCAAAGCCTAATCTGAACCTCACTACAACTAAAAAGCTATATAAGCAATAGGTTGAGAGCACAGGTGAGTCTCACAGATGTGGAAGGCAAACAGGCATGCCTTCAAAATCAGGCTGTAACATGCAGGAAGCTGGTGGTCTCATCTACTTTTCTCTCCTCAGAAATAGCTGAACAATCATTTTGCAAGGCTTCGGGGTCTTCACCTACTATACTTTTCTGCCAAGATGACAGATGGGCTCCAAACACTACAGCCTAACCCAAGGACCCATTGCCACACTGCCCATGCTGCTCTCTCCTGGTGCTGCTGAACAACAGCTGCGGGATTCCAGCATGTTTAGGTTTTCCAGATAAAATGGAGGAGGAAACTAGAAGAATAAATCCCTGCCCTAGCCCCAGGGGTGTTGCAGCTGCCCATCTCATCTCTAATTGCCAGAAACAGAACTACCTGCAGAGCCAGTGCTCAAAGCAGCCTTTCTAGCATAGGAAAACTCATCTTCTTCACTAAGTCCAGCAAAAAGCAACCTAGAACACATAAGAGGATCTTCCAGCCACAGGGCTTCCTTAGGACTGACTGTGCTTCCTATGCCCTCTGACTCAGCTTATCACCATCCACATTATCCACCCAGGAGGAACAGAGTAAGACCTGGCAACTTGCTCAAGGACATGGCAGGAACCAAGCAGATTGAGAAACAGAAGTCAGCCACATGCCAGCCTGGAAGTGAGGAATTTCTAAGAGCACAACATTGATACTGCTTCCCGCTACATGCCCAGCTCTGCTCTATCATCTCTTGCCTCATTTTAGCACCTCACTACAAGTATCACTTGCCCAGGATATGTGTCTGCAGTATTACCACAACCAGACACAACATGGTGCAGTTATGAATCTTGCAACTGTTTTCAGGGTCCAGTTATCATGGAAAGAGATTCTGTTATCAAGGCTTGTGGCATACAACTTGGCTTAGCCTTTCCATGTAGGCAGCAGTCAGCTACATCAAACATGCCTCTGAAAAGTAGTAGAGCTCGAAGTCTTTATGCAGGATATATCCTAATTATTTAAAAGGACTTGGTCCTGCATGTAAACTAAGGCCAAACAATGGTGCAACAAGGTCTGGACACATCAGATCCAGTTCTGCAAAGAGATCATGATGCCCTGGAAAACCGCATGGTAGCAGCTATGGTCAATACCTTCCACCCTCAAGCATCTCAGCCACTGAGGCATATCCTCTCCCCACACACAGGAAACACCAGCTACAATTAGCTGAGTGACCAGCAGAGGTACAAATGATAATTACAGGCTGCACAGGAGCTGCTGCAAGTGAATATTTTTACTACAGTAGCACTCGGGAACTCCCCATCACTGGGCCAGGACTCCATTGTGCTAAGTGCTATATAAATACAAACTAATGACCCATGAAAACATTTACATATGCAAGGACAGGGACAGAGGGAAAAAGAAGTCATTTACCTTTTCAAATGCAGCCAGAAGAACATGGGCATGACCTGTCACCTCAACCACCACTGCAAAAATAGAAAGAGCACTTCTGGTTAAACCTTGAAAACAGCACAAGCATAAAGCTACCCAAGCTGCGTTTTAGTCTGTTCACAATTTCTGAACCACCATCTGTCCTATTTTCATCTCCTTTTGCAATTTAAAACTTCTCATATCTTGTCATCTTGCACTCCTGCAGAGCAAGAACAAAACCCTGCTGGGCTCTATGGTGGGCCCCATACAGACATGCCTTTGTTATCTTGGGTGCTCCAAACTATCCCACTTTGTTTTCAGAGGCTGGAAAGGGAAAGTAAAACAAAGCGCTCAGTGGGACTCTGCTCTCCCCTTAAATTCATGTTTTTAATTACCTGAAGTGATCACAGGGATTAATAAATCCATCTGGTTTAACTGCAGTTAGCAGCACTTCCAGCCCTGTTATTTATCACTTTATTTTCCTCTAATCTGACACACTCATAAAACATTTATTTCTCATACCACTTTTGGACATGAAACATCTCGATCCAGTTCTCTGATTTTTTTCCCCAAAGACAAACATCATGTCTTCCCTCTTCCAAACGCAAAGCTTCCCTCTTAATCCAACAGCACTGTGAAGGGGCTGTCAGAGGTTTTAGTATTGCATCCATGACTCCCAAAGCAAATACAGATCAAATACAGAACAGAAGCAGCTGAGGTACAGTCCCAGTCTCTTTGGCTCAAGGCTCTAAGGTTCTGTTCAGCTCCAAGTGGTTGGACCCTTTTGCTTAATTATGTTCAGACGACTCATACAGAAATGGAAGACAGAGGCTGTGGAGGAGTCACAGAGGGAAAGGAAGGCATGTATCCACCTTGCCCTGCCCGGACCAACAAGTACCTGGGCTGTGCTCAGCACATGCAGAAGAGCTGACAGAAACTATCATCAGCTCTGTGCCAGAAAGTTAACAGCTGAAGGAAGCAACTCCTGAGTTGTTTAAAAGGGAGAAGAGCTCAACAGTTTCCACTGGGCCCCCAGAACAGCAGAGATAAGAAGAGGAACCATTCACTAGACTATAGCACAAAGATCAGGTTTGGGAACAGCAGCAGATGTGAGAAGAGAGTCCATGCCTGCAGATTTGATGGTAATAAAGACTTAGCATGGCAATTTGGGTGCAATTGGGAACATAATGGCATACAGAAAAGAGGGCTAAAACTGGGAATTCATCTGCTTTCTCCCTCCATTGCCAGCCAAGAGCAAGGCTGCTCCAGCTTACTCAATACATGAAATTCAGGACTCTCCCAGCAGTTTGAGTGGCTAAGAAAGAGGTAACAGGCATCACTACCTTCATATCCTCAGTGGCATTCAAGCAGTGTGTGGCTGGAGCTGTGCAGCACCTTCCCTCCCCAAAAGGTTTCTGTACCTTTCCCTGAGAGCTATCCCGCTGGCAGCAGTGTGAGAGGGCTGACACTGCAAGCTCACATTCTCCAAGGCAGGCACACATCTCCTGTCAGAATTCGGTCCAAACCAACATCTCACTCACTGCTATTTTAACTTGCCATTCAATTTTATTTAACACAAGCAGTTATAGGCCAGCTGTAATTTTCCAGGTGCTCCAAACACACAAGGCCAGCTCCTTCCAGGCCTAGCAGTTAAAAAAAGAACCAAAATACACAACAGTTTCCTCAAATCTCGCTCAAGTGTCCATATTTTTGTGCTGATATTCTCTCCAGGAGAGGATTTAAAAGCACTTGCCTTTCCAGGTTATTAAAATAGATGACAGGACACTATTGGCTAAGACTGGGGCATGGTATGTGCATAAATGTATGCTTCCCATGCTGCCTCCTGTTCTATTTTTGGTCCTTCTAGGCATGCCCAATATTAGAAAGTACAAATACCTTGCCAACAGCTCCATAAACAGAGGGCGGTGTTTTATATTTATGGTCAAGAAATATACATTTATGTCAATTTTACCAACAGTGCCTGAAATCACTAAAAATAGATGCACTTTAGAAGTAGTTTCCTCTATGTTGCACCGTGCTTTGTTAGTCACACTTTAAATTGGTTGATCCAATTTAAATTGGTTCTATTTTACTGTGCTTGGAGGACTGTAAAATAAGGCAATGAGTTTCTGGGCAATTTCACATCTATAATGTAAGAAACTGAGCAAGCGACTGCACTAAATAGTGCAATCAACAATGGATTTTTTTTTCCTTTCTAATTATTCTTCTATTTCGTACAAAACATTACAAACAGAAGATGTGAAATGCTGGTCCTGCTGACCATATTCGCCCCTGGCTCTAGAGAACACACGAGTTCCTTGCGTATTTTTCATTGCTGATGCTTATAACAAGTGCAAAAACACAGAGCCCAAAAGCACACTCCCCCTCAGAAAAATACAGCAGAAGGTGAGTAACAATCTAAACATTTACTGGACTTCCCCCTCCAAAATGGCAATGTGCTTTTAAAATAATCAACAATATTACTTCTTATCAAAGGTTATGCTCTTTTATTGTAACCATTCAGCACCCTTCAGAAGAATCAGAAGAATTTTCAACTGATGGAGGAAGCTGTATCTGGTTTAACAGTGGCCTAATTGTTTGAAACCATTTCTTTTTCTCTGACCATTCCTAGGGGAAGGCCCATCCTACAGATAGCTATAGGTTTTATGAAGACAACTTACCCGTCAAACATGGGAAAAAGACCAACTCCCTTCTTGCCTTACAACTTGCAAATGCAAAACCCAAAGAGAAAGGAAGTAATCTACTCTGATTTGTTCCTGGTGTTGGTGGCAGAGCCAAGAGCTTGTCAAAAGACTACTCCAACGCTAAATACCTGGCCATTTTTCCTGTGAAAAATTGAGGCTATTTTTAAAAACATGTTTTTATGTAAGAACCCATGGTTAGCTGGGCCCTTTTAATATAGGGAAGTTAGGGTGAAATCCTGAAATATTTTTATTCTGGAAAGGTTCCCCAAGCCTTTGCTACAAGTAAAATGTTTTCATCATTGCAAAATAAGGCCTGCCCTGAAGGAGTCACATAACCGCAAAGAGACCTAGATGACCATGGGAGCACACCACTACCACATGCTTACCATCTCCTTCATCCACCACCGCTCGGATGACCACAGGGAACACACCACGATCCAAGTCAAAGTTCAGCTGAGGGAAAGAAATGAGCTGAGGTTAGACAATTCACACCAGGCTTGCCTGAAGACAATGCTCAAGACGGTGATAACATCAGAGGAACGAAAGCACCTTCTGACCCAGCCTCTGGTCTCAAAATGACACAAAAGAGCATGAGGATTTAAAATTCAGGCATCAACTTTCAAAGGGAGTCAACCAGAGTTACTACAACATATATACATGTCCCTGTCCATGGCAGGAGGGGTGGAACCAGATGATCTTTCAGGTCTCTTCCAACCCTAACCATTCTGTGATCCTATGATATACTGGTTATAGCACAGCAGTACACATTATTGTTCTCTACACCAAAAATAAACCCTTACTCTGTATGGAGTTCCTGAAGACAGAGAAAAATCTGCAAAACTTCAAGCTTACACAACACTTTAAGGAAACACCAGACTGATTTCCATCTCTTGGCATGTTATGAAATTCAGGTCCTTGACCTTCTAACTGGCGAGACTGAAAATTTAAGATCTCACTTGAGTGCAAGGAAAACAGACTCAATTTCTTCCTTTGCCCTGCACTTCATTAAAGCACTTCAAAAGCTCCATGTCATCTTACAAACACAAGAAAAATGCAACCTTACAAACACTATCCTATGCCAGGAACGGAAATGGCTCAGAGACTGGAATTCTGGTGTTTTTTGTTAATTACTGGCTTGGATTTTGAGAGGAGAAGTTGTCATTTCACCAGGTAGTCTGTTTTCAGTTTTCCAGTGAAAACTGAGACTGAATGCGAAGCACTACAGCACCACTCAGGTAGTGCTTCAGGGCTCTCCTCACTTTCCTGCAGCCCCAACATCATGTGCAGCATGATTTTGTCCAGCTAGTCCCTCAAAAGATAAACTGTCAAGGTATCTACTGGCATTGGCACAAATGACAACCCAGAATATGCAGACTGGAGGGAAGGTGACCCTCACAATGAGCTTTAACGTAGTTGAAGATATTCCTCTCAAATGAATTACAACCTGAATGTTCATCGTGAAATGAATGATAACAGTACACTGGGAGACAATATACCCAGTGCACCACCAGCCAAGTATGTCATAGCCATTAGCCACATGGCTGCACCTCTGCCAAGAGCTGCAGGCACATGCTTTGGACTGCAACAGTTCACCAGCCTTCCACAGGAGGCGCAGGGGAAGAGGGGACTGCAGTTCTGCTGCTCTTCTGTCCATAGCTGCTGCTCCTCATGCAGGTTACTTGCCTTTGGAAACACACAGCTTCTGCAGCACTTTCTGGAAGTGATTCTCAGCTGCCTAACAAAGCTTTGCACACACGCATCCTTTCAAATGGGATTCCAAACAGGTATGTGCTGGAAGACCTTATGATTTCACTGAGCTAGTCTTCAAGCCTGAGGGACACTGATTTTCATCCTCTGTATGACAGTTTTACATTTTATTCCTCTCTTGAACTACCAGAATCTATTCTCTTTCCAGAACAGCCAAGTAACAAAGTGAACACAAAAATCTCATTTAACCACTCAGTATTTGTTATAGAAAAGTCTCACTGAGCCACTATTTTCCAGCCTGCATTTTTGAGCCTTTATGGCATTCCACAGAGGGAAAATTCATCGAGGACAATTGATTAAAATTGCTGAAAGAAGCTTATGGTTTTGCTTTGCTTCCTGCTCTGATTTATTGCAGTATGACAACAGTTACTGTTTGTCGATTTGAAGGGAAAGTCGAATCACAAATTTGTGGTTGCTTTACAACAAACTTTCACATTCTCAAACAAAAGGCCTCTTTAAGTGTCCATTTCACATTCAGTTTTAGGGACCTGAAAACAACTGCCTCAACAAAAGCCATACACTGGAACTTGCAAGCAAACTAGTATATTATGAAGACACAGTAACTTTTATAAAGCTTTCCACATAACAACCCAACACAGCATTATTTTCCCATCTGTGGCCAGACAAGAACTACATCATATGCAAGTATTACACTGAGAAAAAACATGAAGTCAATCTGGAGGTTTTGGACAACAGCAATAACAATGCTGGAAAGAAATCTGAAGTATGCAATTGTACACAGCTGAGCGATAACACTCTGCCAGCTCTCCCAGGTGTAAATGCTGCGTATCAGTGGCCACTTAAGATTTAGCTGTATGCATTTTACTGGACTTGAGAGGACAAGGACTGATATGTACTCAGAGCCAAAACAGAAGACGAAACTCTTCTGAAGCACAGTGCGTGTTCCACATTACCTCCACACCCAGAGCTCCCAGTAACACCAATGAAAAAAAGGGTAGACAGAAGATGCAGTAGAATAAAGCAAAGGGAGCTAGAAGCCTTTTTGTAGCATCTCTCCCTTTAAGTTGTCAAAGAGACGTGACTTTAGTACTTGAGTTAAAACCTTGCTGGCAGGAACAAAAGTGAAAATTAAGCTTCTCAATTCTTTAAGAAGAAAGGGATCTGAGCTTCTACTTTCCAGCTCTCTCAGATGACAGAAGGGGTTGAAAAGCAGCTCTTCCAGGCTTTTGTAGGCTGAACTTGTGAAATCACATACTGGCAGAGAAGCCAAGACATCAGGAGACCAGACTGTGCAGGCTTTTGGTAACCACCATGGCATTTGTTGAGGCACGGGACTGATTATGGTTATAACTGTAACTTCAAGACAATAGCTATTCAATCTTTTCAAAACACATGAAAGATTGCTTTTTCCTTCTTTTTTTTTTTTCTTTTTTCTTTGCTTCTTTTTTCTTTGCCTTTTTTTTTTTTAATAGGTGGAGTTATCTATCAGGTTTCACTTATACAATACTCTTACACAGGCTTGCGTCAGGAAATGAACACTGTATCGTAGTTGATACAGGGGTCCACAGGAACAAATACATAGCAGTAGCTGCAGTCCAACTCCTCTGCATCAGGCATCTCTTATGGCAGACCTGTACAGAGCAGGGGAAAGATCAAGGCCTCCCTGCCCTGCATCACATGGGCCAAAGCTCAGAGGCTCAAGAAGCAGTGACTGTCTGGGTCAGAATTTTGCAAAGATACCAAAATTAATAGGATTCCACAGATCTTGCTTTGTAGTAAAAGCCACAGAGCTTAATTAAAAACAAACCCTCCTTTGTTTGCATTTATGGGTTAAACAAAAAGGAGGAAAGGCATTCCCTTATTCACCAATAATGCACCAGTGTGAATCTGCCCCAGAAGGGGGAGTATCCCCCCACCTCACTGTACTGCTACATTCAATAATGCAGGATGTAGCCCTTCAACAGCAGTCTCCTAGAGCAGTAACCTCCAAACTATTTTGACTGTTCATCCAATCAGTATAAAATTTTGAGGACGTACTCCCAATAGATGTGTATTTATTATTTATAAGATATATAGAATACTGTTGAAGTTCTTCCTGCACCCCAGTGAGTTGTCTTGCATGCACCCCACCTTGGAGACCTCTGTTCCAGAGGACCAGACAAAAACAAACAAACAAACAAACAAACAAAACCCCCACCAAAACAGAGAGCTCAAGACAGACATTTGTTCCCAGGAGCAATTTGGCTGCCAGGGAGAGGAAGGCTGAGGAGTTGAAGGTTCCTCTAGCAACAGTTCCAGTGCCAGTCTCTGCAGTCTCCCTCCTACACCAGATGCTGGGATGCCAGCTGATTAGTGATACCAAAAGTTGCTTCTTTGAGTTTCTTTCCTGTTTGCCTGATCTCCCTGCCAAGTTCCTATACAGTGTTCATACCTGCTCCTCCTGTGGCCCCATTCATCTCATACCCACAAAACATGCCAAGGCACTAAATGGAGTCCAGTGCTTCTGGGACAACAAGCTTGTGAGAAGAAGGGGATACTGGGAAAAAACTTACCTCATCATCCTTCCAGTCTGAGAAATCAATCTTGAAGGAAGGCAAGGAGAATTGCTGGCTTACCCCTCTCTTGTAATGAACCGTCTCCGACTGCAGAGAGGGATTCTTTGTGCTGTATCTGAAGAAATGAGGGGAAAGAAAACTTGCTGTAACAAGTGATTGCTCTTGGCTAGGCTCTCATTCATTCCTGCCTGTCTGCCTTTCAGGAATCACAAGTGGCAGCTCTAAGAGGCAGAGCTGGCAGGGGCTGGCAGCCATTCAGTGGGGATACAGAAAAGGAAGGGGAAGGTCAAAGCGAGAAGGTGAGCACAGGGAAGGGAAAGCAGTGCAGACAGGCAAGGTCTGATGAGTCCATACTGACCTGCCTGGGAACACTAGGTGTCAGAGGAGTACAGTGGGGTGCAGCAGCCTGGCAAAGGCTGGCTCACTAAATCCAGGGCCTAGGCAACGCTGGCATTCAGCCCAGCACACAGTTTTACTTTCTGCAGGGAACCCAGGAAGAAGCAGCAATGATCTAACAGTGGGAACACACAACCAACACAGTGGTGAAAGCTCTCCTGTGCCTCTGCGGGACAGCTCTGCAGTGAGAAATGCTTGCTTGGCTCACCATCATCCTGGTAAGCAAGAGCCATTCCAATTCACTCCTCTATGTGCTTCCCCAAAGATGCTGCAGGGCAACCAACATCACCAGACACACACCAACCAGTCCCCGATGCTGGCCACATAGAGAAGAGTCACAATTCCACTGTCTTGAGGCCCAGCACTGAAACACCATCACTGCCATGCTGGGATGAACATCTCTGGCACAGGACCATAGCTACCATCCAGCATCTTTTGCATCCAGGGCCCTGTCCGCCCCAGGAGAGACCTTTCATTGCCCACTGACTGTCAGTACGATGCACAATGGGCTTCAGTGGCAAAACAGGATCAGGAAGTTTTCACACCTTTCTGGAGTGTGATTTCCAAGCTGGATGTGCACAGCCAATTCTGGCACGGGAGAGGAGGCAGCAAACTGCAAAACAGAGTGGGAACATCTGAGGCTGGTTTTACCACCAAAGCCGCTTCTGTTGAACTACCAACCGTGTGTTCAGGGCATGTTGACAAACCCAAGAGAAAGTGAGAGATCCCTTGCCCAAGAGGCTTACACTGCAGAAACAACCACCACCCCCCCGGCATAGTGACGAGACAGGTCTAGCTCCAGCTCAACAAGACAGACAGCCAGTCACAGTAATGGCATGTTATCTCTTCTGCACACTAACCATCACTTCCTAAACAGGATTTCACACAGTGAGACTGAGAGTGTGCTGGCCTGCAGCCACTGCACACTGAACAGCTACAAGCTTGAAGCCTTGTTGACTCTTCAAACTTGATTGCCACTGTTCTTGATCGAGCAGACAGCCCAGGGCCAGGCTCCAAGTACAGGTGTCACATTAGCACCAGGAACTTCAGGCTGAGGTTTTCCTTAACTCAACTTGGGATGTCACACTAGATCCCCTACAACCAGCTCCTCACATCTTGCTGATCCCATTTGTCAGAGAATACATGGGCAAGTTCTACTGCCAGCCCTGCAAAGGAGACAAGCGCAGAGGAGATCGAGGCATTTGCTGTGGCAGGGTCAGTGCAGAGCTCTGTCAAGCACAGCGTGCACAGAGGCAAAGAAAAGAGAATCCTTGCTTGAAAAACACTCTTCTGTACTTTTGAGGACATTCAGCTCTTCTGAAGCACAGACACAGCTTACGGATCACCAGGAACATAAGCAAAGACTGGAAGCTCCAAGTTCCTTTGGCCTAGCTACACTTTGTGGAGGAGTGCAGCACACTAGAAGGGCATGGCAATACACAGCTTTTCTGCATCCAAGGTAATGCCTCCTGGTTTCTGTAAGCAAGGAGCAAGAGGGCTGGGCAGCTCACTGCCAGAGGGGGTGAAGCAAAATCCGTGGGAAAAACCCATGGGGCAGAGTCAACCAAGAACTGCAGAACTGAGCATTACACCAGAGATGTGGAGTCTGGGCTGGAGGATGGCAGAGGTGATTAGACAGGACATGCCTGAACCTTAAAACTCAGCTTTAAGCGATGCTGTGAGTGAAAACTTGACACTCAAGAGCTACAGCTCACAGAGCCAGCGGGCTGCCCTCCTGGGCTCAGGCCAGCCAGCACAGAGTCTTAAAGCACAATGATTAGGATGGATTTTGCAGCTGAAGGATACCAGAAGATGATGAATATTTATTAATTCCTCTCAAATCCAAGGAGGAAAACCCAGGCTCTGCACTGGCATGAACTGCTGCCTTTCTCTGGAAAGTGAGTGTAGTTCCTGAACCCTCTGAGGATCCAGAAGTTTTATCAAGTGTTACAAGATCCATGTTAAATTCTGGAAGGCCATGATGAACGCCAGGTTCACCATGTGCACTCTGCTTTCCTGCCGAGGCAGGTACATTATGTTATTTATGCCAATACCTTACCCTTAAAGACCATTCTGTACTGCTTTGAAATTGTGCTGCTTCACTAGAAGGTCTCACTCCACCCTTTGCATTTAAAGCATAGTGTGGGAGAGATCAGAATGACAGGTCTTTTATGTGTGAATTACAGAGCGAGCAATTGAGTGAAGTTTTATTTACTGAGTTGTCAAGCACAATGAATAGAGCAAGCCTGTATCTAGCTCCTTTTGTGGTGTTCTCAAAGCTTCCCAGCTCTGCAGAGAAGCACAATTCTCCATCTACAGCTGGGAAAGCAGGAGATGGAAGAGTGACTTATCTAAGGTGACAGCAAGTCAGGAACCCACTGGAAATAAAGCGCAGGGGAGAGAGTGGAGCTGTGAAAAGGGTGCAAACATGCTTCTGACGCATGCCAGGAAAGGCAGAGGACCTGCACTTACAGCACCAGAAGCTCAAGCCAGTCTACAAAGGGAAAACAAAGAGGTAGAACAATACTCTTGTAGACTTGCTGTTCTCACTATCCCTGAGAAAAGAAATAAACCAGGTACTTAGATTTTCTGAGCTGAAGAGTATGACAAAAACATCAAGGCTTCCCCAAGTGAACCAAGTGGGCCTTATTCCTCAGACTGTGTCACTGCCTAGGCCCTACTACCAAATCTTGTATCAGTCTTGGATCTGAACACTCAGACAATGCTGGGGACCAGCAGCCAGTGCTGAGGCACTAGTGAGACAAGAGCCTGGTGAACTCCCTGGAAGCACTGACCCCAGACTGTCACAGACATCAGTCGCCTTTCTGAGGTGATGAACAGGATCCACTGCATAAGCACACCCTCCTCGTGCTGCACAGCAGCACAACTTGGCAACCTGTTACAAAGCAATTATCCTGCATATTAGTGTCTAAGTGGACTCTACCCACCCCCAGCTCTTTTTGTTGGCATCTGGTGTATTTATTAGTGTTCTACTCCCTGCCTATGCTGCTGTGGGTTTACAGCAAACAGCAGTGGAGAAGGTCTGTGGAGTTATGGAGATGTATTACAGGAAAGGAGAGCATGTATTAAGAATAAAGGATAGCAGAGAAGCAGTGCGCTGCCTCTCCCTGCATAAAGGCTGAAATCTGAATGTTTGGGCTGCTGTTTCTCAGACTGCACCAGGCCAGGTCTCCATCCAGACAGGAGATCTAACAAAACCACCTTGCAAGCACTAGCAGCTCAGGACACTGGAGAGGTGGGGTCTGTCCTATTAGATCAGGACCAAACACAAATGCCCGGTCACATCTTTTTAAACCTTTCTTTGCTCAGCTACCTGACAGCAGGAGAATCATCAATAACACAAGGTACCACACTGCTGACTTCAGCAGCAGCTCCCAGCTCTGCCCTCAGGATCCATGCAGCCCATCTCCCCTCTGTAACTCTTTGACACACCTTTACTCCCCCAAAGCAAAGCCTACACTCCACACTGACTCCTTCCTCTCCCACATCAAAGCCTTACACCCCATCAAAACCAGCTGTGTATCAGAGAACCAGCAAACAATAAGCCCTGTGACTACAGCACAGTGATTTCTGAAAGAATGGGAAACAAACTAAACTATTCCCTAGTCTCACTCCTCCATAATCAGCTGAGAAGTACTCACTACCTGCACAGAGAAACTCAGCCTGTGGCTCAGAGTCTTCTCCCTGTAGGCAGTCCAGACTTGCTACTGGGCACCTGCAGAGCTTAAGTAGCACTCAAGCCACCAGTGGCATACTAGTGTTCAGGAACCTCTGGCTATGCAGAGTTAAATTTCTGTTGCTACATGCTCACTGGAGACGCAGCATGAACATGTGGGGATGTTCCCCCTCTTGCTCATGTCCTCAGTGCCTGGGGAAGTTCTCAGCAGAATGCCAGTCCCAACTCACACAGACTTCCTCACTGCTGTGTTCCTCAGCTCCGCTTGGCACTGGAGCTGCCTCAGACAATCGAAAGATGATTTCTGTTACCACAAGCACGTTGGAACCCCTGATCAAACAAGGATCCTAGCCAGCTTGCCTCAGGGTTACGCAGAGCACTGTCCAAAGCTCATTCCTCAGAGAAAAGGAGGATGCACAGCAATGTTTCCCCAAGATACCATTTTTGACTAGTAACAGCTGAGAGACAGTCTGTGCTTTGAAGAGACTGTGGACAAAATGAGAGAGTTCTCTTTCTTTGGCAACAGCTACGCACATTGCATGGCAATTTGCAGTGAGCTGAGGACAAGGCAGAGTTACACGAAAGCTTTGGAGGATACTCAGGAACCAATTTTTCTACTACTGCAGGTTGTGACTGCCTGGCAGGCTCCATGTTCTCTTACAGGTGATGAGGAGGGAGCTAGTCATGTTCTGCTGGCATTCAAAGGGGACAGAAGTTGATGTGGAGCAAGGACAGTGGCCCTGCTCTCTCTCTCACCCGCTCACTCCCCTTTCTTTTTGGGCCAGGATCTCGGGTCAACTTTTGGGGAACAGGGAAATCGATTTGTTGGAACTAGATGATCTTAAGGTCCTTCCCAACCCTAATCATTCTATGATTCTATGATTAACAAGTGTCTCAACTCAAGAGTGATTTTTGTTAGTAACAGAAGCACTACCAAAATATAGGAAGGTCATAGCTGTGGGTCTCAGAGTTAGACAAGACCCAGCCCAGAGGGGCTCCCACAGCGAGCATGGAGGTTTACT